AGGTCCGGGGTGGGGCTTGGGAATCAGTACGTTCAAAGGTCCCTCAAGAGCCTTTTGTAGCTGGGGTGGGGTCAGGCTGGGAACTCCAGCGTGCCCTTTCGCCTGGCCTTAGCTGCCCTGCTCCACTCTGGGGAACAAAGGTGATGGCAGCGGCCCTGCTCTGGTGGGAAACATGGGGGGAGGGCAGAGCACCCCAGTCCTGCTTGGAAGACTTGAGGGAGTCCTGCCAGCAACTGGCTATCTCTAATCCTTCCTGAGGTTATTGACAGGAAAGATGCGATGAATACCAAGTCGCTGTGGGCCATGCAATGTTCCTAAAATTCGCCGTTGATCTCCATACGTATCTTCCTTTTTTCTTGTTTTCACCTCCAGTGATTTTCCAAATGGGATGAATGACACTCCCCTTATTCAGTTAAAGGCTGTAAGCATCAGGGATGGAATTTTCTAAAGCCCTCTACTGTATAAATACTTTCTGCGGATGGTGTTATCTGATGAAAAACCAAGTGGTGACAGTGTAACAGCTGGGGGGGTGCGGTGGAAGCAGACAGCCTGACTTTAGTTCAACTTCTGTTGTTTACTTGGGAAACTCAGCAGCTATTTCCCTGGATTCGTACACAGCACTGTGCAGCTTTTTAGCCTGTTGCTCCAAATATTTATCAGGGCAGAAGCAACGAGACAGTCTCATCTCTTTGGAGAGCAGTTTCTAACTTTTTGTTAAGTCAGCTTCTTAATTCAGTTAGTTCCTTAGCATCATTAAAATAATTGTTCTATTTATTAACTTAGAATGTTATAGTTTCCGGCTGAGCAGGAATTGAGGTTACAGAAGTTGGTATGTCGTGGTTAAAGCACTAGCTTCCTGGTTGACTAGGGCAAATTAGTTCAACTCTCCTGGCCTCAACGTCCTCAACAGTAGAATGGGGGTAATTAAACCTCCCTCACAGATTGTTTTGGTCATGACTGAGTGAGATAACAATGCCAGAAACTGCAGAATGCTTGGGACATAAGAAGCCTTCAAGTGTCAGCAGTATTATTACTCAACTAGTGAACAGACTTTATTGGAGCAAGTCCTAAGTGCCCTTTTAAAATAAAAAGGCACATTATAGTGCCATGTACTCATATGAAATGGTATCTACAATGTATTATCAAATTAAAAATGTAAGTGGAATTATAGTATGAAATTTTGTAAGTAAATTTTTAAACTACATATTTATATATGTATATGTATATTTATATGTATGTGTGAACATTGTGTATATGTGCATGTATTCTAACATAGAGATGCATATGGAAAAAATCTGTTAGAAAGTGATTATGAGTGCAGTGACAACTCAATTTTTTATTTACTTTATTCTGCCATGTTTGGATTTTTGAGATCATGTATTAACCTGCATTAACATGATTTGAAATCATGTATGGTCATATATAAAATTAAAAATAATACTGATATAAGGTAAAATATAATCAAACAAAATTATAATTTAAAGAGTTAGACTATACACATTTTTTTCTGACTAAAAATATATATATAAAGTAAGGAAATACAGTCATTCTACAAGTAGCCCAAACAGCATAGAGTTCCAGCGACAATTTTCCCAGTGACCTGTCTGCATTTTTATAACCTGTGTGATAAGAGCTGACCTTGCCGTGGCCCCATCTCCTCTGAAACTTTTCTCTCTGAATTTCTGCTGCCCTGAGAATTTGTACCACATCATTTAAGAATTTTTAAAAGTCCCTGCAATTTGCTATCTTCTTGTCTTAGTTGTGCTCCTCTTATCTTGGAAACCCTGTTGTAAACTCTTCTGGAGCAGGGATTGTGTCAAATTCTCGAGCATTTACACAATTGTTAATTTAGCAGAGGGTGTGTAGTATTTGCTCAATAAATACCCATTGGTTGAATGGCTGCACATCTGATATTAGTCAGGATAAGCCATGCTGGGCTGCAATGATACAGTAAAGCTCAACCTGGAGATTCAGTGGCCTCACACCACAGAGGTTTATTTCCTTCTCGTGAAAGGCCATGTGATTGTCAGTGACAGTGACCCAGGCTTCTTCCATCTTGAGAACCACACGTGGTTTCTGAGTTTGCTGTATCAGGGAAAGGAAAGGATGGAGAAGACATACGGACTGTTAAGTGTCCTAGACCACTTCAAATACCCATTTGTCAGAAATCAGCCCCATGGCTCCACCCAGCCACAAGGAAGGCCAGGAAATGTAGGGGAGCACATAGATACCCAGGAGCACTAATTGTGGGCCACCCACCGCTCTACGTTTATACCTTCCGGCAGAATAACTGTGTCAACTAGTTAGCACCCCATCGGTATCAGTGGGACCAACATTCACATCAGTCATTAACTTGGCTCAGTATGTGTTAGTCACTGTATGTGTTAGAAACTAGTAAGATTCAGAATTTATTTATTCAACACGCATTTAGCAGTGCCTACTGTGTGCCAAGTGCTACTGTAGGTCTTGAGAGTATTGCAGAAAAAAACCAGTCAAAATTCCCTACACTCACAGGACTGACTTTCTAGTAGAGGGAGAGGAACAATTCACAGATAATGTCCAGAGCATACATATTAGTTGGTGGTAAATATTATGGAGACAAATAACGCTTGGGGGTGGGGGTAGGGCATATATTAGCATAGAGAAGAGGGTTGGGTTGTAATTTTAAATTGATCAGGGAAAGCCTCACTGAGAAGATAACAGGGAAGCAGAAACCTAGGGGTGAGGGAGCCAGTCATTTGGCTGTCAGGCCAAAGAGCCTTCCTGGAAGAAGGGACACAAGTGAAGATCCTGAGGCAGGGCAGGAAGTGCCTGATATATTTGCCAAATGGCAAGGAAGCCAGTGTGGTTGGAGTGAGGTTGCAAGAGGCGCTGGGGCAGGATTGGGGGCGTCTGTTGAGTACAGGCTGTGTAGAACCTTCTACGTAACTCGGTCTGTGGCTATTGTTCTGTGTGATATAAAGTCATTTGGGGGTTTTGAGCAGAGGAGCAACATGATCAATCTGGCTGCTCTGTTGGGACAAGGGCAAAAGCAGGGAAAGTTCAAGTGAGAGATGGTGATGGTTTGGGCCATTTCCATCACCCCAAAAAGTTGAAGGGAGACATTTTAAAGGGGGAAGGTGATGCACAAATATGAGATAGTTTTTGCTGATAAGATGTTAGCATGAGCCTAATGGTAATATCATTTATCATGATCATGAGTCTGATATTCTATTTGTTGGACCACAAACATTTCTTCATGGATTCTACAGACATTTATTCAACACCAGCGGTACTGGGCTGCTTATTATGCACTGGGGACAGTAAGGAGACCTGACCCCTGCCTTTGGGAAGCTTTCCGTATAGCAGTATTACAGAGATAACCAAAAATATAGTGTCAATACCAAACATACCCACAGCTGTAACAATATAATCATTGTGTAATTGTGATGAAGCTATTAGCCCGAACTTATTGAATGTTTTCTATGTGCTAGGCACGCCTGTGGATGTTATTATACGATTATTATAATCATTATATGTTTACACTCTCCTATATATTTAAACTAGACTGCTACAAAGTTAGAGAACTAGTGACTAAAAACCTAATCGAACAGTCTGAATGTGCCGTTTTTGTGCTCTACAAAAAGATCACCAAGGATTTTGCCACCCTGGTGCCTGTCAAAAACCCAGCCCAGGAAATGGATGTGCCATTTTTCCCAAGTGTCTTCTTTGTTTATAATGTATAAAATCATGTTACTAGTATCTAATAACACTGATTTGTCAGCTTGTTTAAATCTTCTTTATGGCATGTTTGTTTTTTCTTTTAATAACCCGCCTCGAAGAAGGGTAAGCTGAAACCACTGCTCCGCTTCGAGATGCTGCTGCGCAAATTGCATGTGCTCTTCTGCCTCTGCGGCTGCTTCACCCTCGGTCACCCTTTTGACTGGCAAGACCTAAACCCTGTTGCCCATGTTAAACCATCAGGTAAGAGGTACATTCATTCAAGGCTTGAGCCACTGACCTGTTGCCGGACTCACAGTGGCCTCAGAGAAGTGGGCTCTAAGCAAGTCTTATCAGGAAGATGCCCGCGGACGCCTTGTATTCTCCTGGGGCACGGGAGAGGGCCTCCCTTTCCCCTCACTCCACGCACCCGTCTTCTTCACATATGACGACTGCAGGGCAGAGCCAGGGAAACTGGAAGCTCAGCTCGCAGTCCCCACGGAGAAACCCCCCCTCACTGCCCTGCCCCACTCCCAGTCCCGCGCAGTAACCCGGTTCCCCTGCAGCTCCTCAGGAGCAACCTCCAAACCTGCCTCTGGAGGAGAAGAGGCAGGGCTCATGCTCAGCAGGTGTAGTCCTGGTGGCAGTGGTGTGAGACGATGGCAGTTTAGGGCGTGGAGATCGGGAAGGAAACAACCTTTTCTACCTAATGACAGGGAGAAGTTGGGAGAAGCAAACACTAAGGAGCCCCAGATGAGAAAGGATTGCATCGCTTGCTGTTTCTCACCTTGTGGGAGGGAAGGAGAGGGGAGGAAGGCACATACGAGTCCAGGACAAGGTGGCCAGAGTGGGACAGCCATCTCTAGGCAGATACACCTCCCAGCACTAAGAAGGACCTTTGTTGCAAAGAGATTGCTTATGGAGCTTTGCGCATTCCTGCTAATCCCAGAGGGTTGTGATGCATGAACTTCTTTATCCAGTCCCCTCAGGTGAGCAGTGTGGGTGGCTTCTGAATAGTGTCCTAATGTCTGTACCCGCACACCTGTGCACCTGGATAGATATGGTCCCTCTGGATCGAGTTATTCAGGCTTGGCACTGACTCATCTCTGTAGCATCTACAAAAGCCTTTCATAACCCAGCACCTTATAGGTAAAGTTCATCCTACTTCATAGTTGGGGCAATGAGTGCATCTGTAGGAGAGGGACTCCATCTCATAGCTACATTTACATGGGAAATGGTGCAATATCTCACGGGACCATTCATTCAACAACACTTAACAGGAAGTTGAAGCGTCAGCGATACACAGGTGACTACGCCGGAGTTTGTAGTCAAGTTCAAGGAACTTGCAGCCAATTAAATTAATTTTCCCATTACCTCTCATGGCTGAAAATGATTGGAAAGCTGCTTTTGGACTGGAAGAAGCTCAAGACACTTCTTTATCTCTGCAGTTCCTGCACTGAGCCCAATGTCCCACTCCTTCTAAATGCTCAGAAATAATGCACAAGTATTTTTTAAATGATTAGAAATCGCTTATTAAACACATGATTAGAGATGATTATTTATATTCCTCTTACTAAACAAATACCTAGGAAATACAACTGTAAAAGGTTTATAAGTATGGGTTAGAGATATCTTATTTGCTCCCAGAGGACATAAGCCATATGAGAATGCAATGTCCCCAGCATGTATACAGTCCATCTCCAAAACCAGAAGTGAATATCAGGAGTACCTGACAAATGAATTCCACCAGAAATGTGTAATAGGATTAGTAACATACCAAGGGTTCCAGTGCTATTATGAAAATAAAGTTGAGATATAGGAAGTGACATAAATTAAGAACCACAAAATTATGTCATCTAAAGGGTGGCCATCAACCTGACAATCATCTTCCCTGCTCTTCATGATGTGTCCTGATAGGTGGTTAGAGAACAGGAAATCCAAGACATGACCGATTAGCTGCAGGTTGGTGAGCCTTTCTGCAGGCCCCTTGGCACTGGCTGGCCACAGGCCCTGTAGACCTTTACCCAAACTTGGGCGAGCTCGAAGTTTCCTAAGACTTTCTCAGGGGTCAGCGGTCCTGGAATAGGCAGGCCTATAGCTTGACCTTGACCTGTGGTTCCTGAAAGCTGAATAAGGATCCTTTTAGGTAGAGTAGAGAATCAGGGCAACTCCTAGATTATTGGAAGGGGTTCCCAGGGCACAGGTGGAATTGAGATTTCACAGGGGGAACCTTGTGCATTCTGAACCCTCCCAGGGTTCTAAAAGTAAACTTCCAGAGGTAGCACCTCCTTGGCAGCTGTGGGTTCCCTGGGGCTCCTCACCAAACTCTGAGCCAGCAGCCTTCCCCTCAACCCATGTGCAGTCTGCCATGGCTGCCTGTGGGGGGCACAGAAAAACATAAGGCAGATGTGGCCTATCCCATGTTTCTCTGGACCTGACATCTCCCTGTTACACCACATTAAAGAGGATTATTTGTCAGTAGACCATCTTAAATGGGAAAGGTCTTATTGTAATTCTAAATCAACTAGCCCTACAGGTAATGTTATGTGTTTTAAAAAAATCTCTTAGGAAATGCCTTGGAATGCCTTAGGGAAAATGGTACAGTTTAGTTTAGATCACCTAAAACTCCTCTAAGGGATTGAATTTGGGTAGCCAGGTAAGGGACAGATGATATTAGTTGTCTGCCTATTATATGTTGTGTCCTGTGGTAGGTACTTGACTTATGTATCACAGCATCTTACAACCTTAGGCTGGTCAAGTGTTTTTATCCCCACTTTACAAATGAGGATGAGAGAGGGGAGTAAATCACCTAGGCCAGAGCATCATAGCTTACAAGAGGTACAGTTGGAATCCAAAATAGTATCACCTGACTCCAAGACCCAGGCTCCATTCATCTCACCCCTTGCCTTTCTTGGAACTACCAGCTACCATTTGACTGTGAAATGCAGACCCAAGGTGGCCTGGTACCTGAGCCCAGTGTTTCTTAAACTTTAATGAGCACATCTTTTGTGGTTCGGCAGAATTGGGGTAAGGCCTGAGATCCTGCATTTTCAAGCTCCCAGGTGATGTCAATGATGCAAGGCCTTATGTATTGAAGGGCTCATTTCCGGTAGGTGCTTCACACATTAGTCACCAATGTGAAGGATATAAATGGGCTTCTTATGACTCAAAACCTTTCTGGGTGATTCCCTATGATGTCAATGCAGGTGCTATTCCTAACAGTTCTGTGTCTTAGTGGCAGAAGCAGAACATGAAGGAAGGCATGAAGGTGTCTGTCTAGCAGAGCAGTCAACTCACAGAGAAGTCCAACAGAGAAAAAGGAGTGGGCAAGCTGAATCTAGAACAGTGGAAGTCGGGATGTACTGGCATCTGGACTCAGCATCTTGAAATTAAATATGGACTGGATTGGGGTTTAGAAGGAGAACAGAGGAAGTGAAGCTGTGGTTGTGTTGAAGGGTTTTGACACCAGAGAGAGAGTTGCAAGAGTCGGTGGGTAAGAGAATGAATATCATAAAGCATTTGATGGGAATTACAGACCAGCGGCAGTGAAAAGCTAACTTCTGCTCATTTTCACAAATGCTTGTTGAGCCCCGACTATGTAGATCTGAGGATACAAACACATGGATACAGCTCTTAAGAAACAGCCCACTATGGGAGAGTGAGTGTGCAGACACATAACTTCAATATAATATGATAGGAAGAATGATTAAAAATATACAGGGAGTTGATTGAACGCTGAAGAGAGAATGATGAAGTCTTGGGGATCAGGGAAGGCTTCAGAGAAGGCCTGACCTCTGATCCGGATGTTGACGGTTGAATAAGACTTTGCTACAGGGATTTCAAACAGGGAATAACACGAAGGTGCAGAGGCATCAGGCAGCCCAGCGAGTGGCTTAGGAGCCCTGGAGCACACGGAAAGGAGATACAGGGGTAAAGGAGAGTGCAGAGTACAAGCAGTGGGCCCTCCGGACCCTGGAGGGTCTCTCTTACAGTGCCCAGGACTTGGGGGTTTAACTTGTGTGCCTATGAACACGTTTTAACCCCAGAACACTGGGAGGATAGGCCACATTTGTGCCCCAGGTGGGAATGGAAGTCCCTTAGGAAGAGATCTGTAGATTTAAATACCATCTACAAACTGCCTTCCAAAAAGATTCCAGTACATTCCCCCTTCAAGAAAAACCACGTGGCCATAGGAAGCCTTTGCAGGATTTTACAAAGAATTGCCTGGTGAGCTTTGTGTTTTAAGTCATTCCAGGAGCTATGCATTTGAAAAGGCTAAATTCCAAGCTGAGTAGAACAGTTAGGAGGGATGGCAACTATCTGGTCAAGAGACAGTGAAGGTAAGAGTGAGACAGTTGAACCAGAGGGTCAAGGGTGTATTGGAGAGAGAACCCTAAGGTAAAAACAAATGTTAGAAATTGAGACTTGGTTGGAAATAGGGAATTGGTGAGAAAGAGGTAGGAGAGTAAGATGATCCCCAGGTTTCTGATTGGAGGATGAGGAGGGGAAGTTGGGGGATGGTCATTTAGTTTCATTTTGGGCCATTGGCTTTGATGTTCCTATGGGAAGGACATCTGGTGGGGATAAGCAATAGGAAGTTGTAAGTGCAAATCAAGAATGAGAGGTAAGTTTCGTGTTTAGGAAAAACAGATTTGGGAAGTGGGCTTTAATGTGCTCTGCATTGGGCAGAAGGTGAGGTCAAGGAGGCGATCGTCCTAAGTTTCTTGGGAGAAGGGCTATATCACCCCATCTTTTTCCTCACACAGTACTTTGCATACAGCAGGCTCACAATAATTACTGGTGTATTTTGCTAGTTAGTAAAGAAATGAAGGAGGCCAGACGCTATGGGTAAGAACTTGATTCCCTTGGAATTTCTTTGCATAATAAAGTCTGGGGTGCAATGGATGACAAGTGAGATAACATTCACCTGTTTTTCAGCACGGGTCAATAAAATACAGGCTCTGATGGCTGCTGCAGTCTTTGGCCAAACTACAATCCCCAAAGGAAGTGGACCTTATTCCGTCGGCTGTACAGATTTGATGTCTAAATATACTAATAAGGTGATGCTTTAATACCACTTACCCTTGTATTATAATATTGACAGTTGCTATGGCTCCCTAGAGGGTTTGAAACTTGACCATGCCCTTACCTGAGAATGACTCATTTCGCCATTTGTTCTGTTTCATAGGAAGCCGCCTTTTCTAGTTAAGTCATTCCCCAATTCATTGCTGTCATCTGGTTAACTTAACTATAAACTCTATTTCCCCCTTCCTTAACGGCTGAAACCAAGCTCCCTTTCTTTTCACTGAGAAAGCTTGTTCTTCTGTTTCTCCTCTCTTTCAACTGCATTCAATCATGACAGCAGCTTAAAAAGTTCTCTGGAGCCCGGCCGGCCGTGGCTCAGCGGTTGAGTGTTGACCTAGGATCCAGGCGATCAGGGTTCAACGCCCGGTCAGGGCACATGCCTGGGTTGCGGGCTGGATCAATGACTCTCTCATCATTGATGTTTCTATCTCTCTCTCCCTCTCCTTTCCTCTCTCTGAAATCAATAAAGATATATTTAAAAAAAAAAAGTTCTCTGGGCCTCTCCGTACACAACAGAAGTATTTGGATCCCCCCTAAAATAGCTGTTGGAATCTGAGAAGCAACCTGACTAAAAGTACATTAATTTCTTTCCTCTACAGAGCACCTTCTTGCGTCTGTATTATCCATCCCAAGATAATGATCACCCCGACACCATTTGGATTCCAAACAAAGAATATTTTTTTGGACTTAGCAAATTTCTTGGAACACACTGGATTATGGGCAACATTTTGAGCTTACTCTTTGGTAAGATTTCTGCTGATCCTGCTTCATATGCTCTAGGATATAAGAAAGTCTTGAAAACAGCAAGAGTTTCAGGCAGTTAAGAACCAAAGTAGATTTTCACCCGTCTAAACTTCTACTAAGATGACAAAGAAAGTACATATTTCTTAAAAAGCCGAAGGCCAGGTAACTGTCAGGGGAATCAAGGGTTCTCACTGACAATAACAAATGAGAAGTGAAGGAAGGGAAGACAGTATCTTCCATTTCTATGCCCCTTACTATGTGACTGCATAGGTGCTTTACATATATTACCTACCTAAATATAATTCTCACAAAACCCGGGTGAGATAAAATGGAAATATGTTCCATTTCCATTTTGAATATGAGGGGTAGATGGGTGGAGGGAACGAACGTATCAGACTCTTAGACTGGTTTGAACATGTTTCAATGGCTGGTCTTTAGTTTTTCTTCTTACATATTGTGGGGGAGCAATAATGTGGTAAGAGCCACAGCTGGGCTGATGTGAATACTATCCCCTCTGCTCTGTGCTATAGTACTTTCTAAAGTTGGGCAAAACCAGAAAGAAAGTAGCAGCCACCAAATCCAAAACAAGGGAGTGAATGCTAATTTCCTACTTGCCGTACCTGAGGAGGCTCTACTCTCATTCCCATCACTCACCCCCAAGGGACCAGCCCTTCCTGAAGACAACCTGATATGCATTCATTACTTAATTTGTCTACATTTCACGAATATAGACTTTTCCTTCCTTATTTGTTTGACTAGACACTACTGTTGGCCTGGTGTTCACTATGTCTTCAGATTTCCCCCTCAAACTACCCACAGCTTTTGGCATTTATTTTAAAAATCTCCTTGGAGTTTTCTTAAAAACTACATGTCGTTATGGTGCTTAAATAACACATAAATCAGTTTCATAGCAGTCGTTGCATTCAATCCTCATGATCACATCTCCATTTTATAGATGAGAAAATGAAACACAAATAATTGATAAAAATAATGACAATAACAAATGAGAAGTGAAGGAAGGGAAGGCAGTAGCTTCCATTTCTATGCACCTTACTATGTGACTGCAAAGGTGCTTTACATATGTTACTTACTTAAATATAATTCTCACAAAACCCGGATGAGTTAGTTATCATTTCCTTCCTTTCACAGAAAATGAATCTGAAGCTCAGACAGTTCTCTCTCTTTTTTTTTTTAATATATCTTTATTGATTTCAGAGAGAGGAAAGGAGAGGGAGAGAGAGATAGAAACATCAATGATGAGGAGTCATTGATGGAGCCTGCAACCCGGGAGTGCCCTGACAGGGAATCGAACCCGATCACCTGGATCCTAGGTCGACGCTCAACCGCTGACCCACGCCCGGCCGGGCCCGACAGTTCTCTTACCTTGCCCAAGATCAATAGCTAGTGAGTGGCAGAGCTGTGTCCAAAGCCATGTCTGAGTATGAAGTCAATTGTCTCTCCACCTTTCTCTTGATCGTGACCCAGCTAGAATGAGAGGCGTCTGCTATTCAAAGATTTTGGCTTTCAGTGTCATGTCCCCAAGGTTTAGTTTGCTTTCAGAACATTCCCTTTGAAGTTTTGCCCAAACCTGGTACTGCTAGTAAGGAATAGCCTTCCTGAATATACCTGTAAGTAGGAAAATGTCTCACCTTAAGCTCAGAAATGGCAAGGAGAACTGAAAGTTAATGATCCTGTGGTCTTAGGAAAAAAACACATGGTTCAGATACTCGGTTGGTGGGTATCCAGTAGGTGATTTCTTAATGAATTTACTATGAATGCATAAAAATATAAATTGCATGGGTGAAGACTTTATACTAAGGAGATATAAGTTAAATTAACCAGCAACATTCAAGTAAAAACCTTATTTATAATCTTCCATTGTTGTCTAGGCTCAATGACGACTCCTGCAAGCTGGAATGCTCCAGTGAAGACTGATGAAAAATATCCACTCATTGTTTTCTCTCATGGTCTTGGAGCATTCAGGTAAAGTTTGAGAGGCTGAACAGTTTCAGCCTTCAAGGATCAGTGACTGAATGTATTTCCCGCTCCCCAAAAAAGAATAGCAGATTTTGGAGTGTCATGCCGGTCCCTGTCCTGGAGGAGTTGGGGTTCCTCAGGAGTTGGCTGTGGTCTATTGATCAGTCCCAGCCCTGTCTTTTCCTCCTACCAGCTCCCAGAGACTGGCCTCACAACAGAAGAGAGAGGATGTGGTATTTTTGGCTGTTGTCCTTCTGTATTATAATATTTACACTCTCAAGATCATCCACCGTGTTAGTTCAGGGCCTCTGAGAAATAGACACCAAGATTGGACTAGCTGTGAAAGGCATTTATTGTGGGAACTGCCTGTGAAGGATAGAGGGGGAGGGTCAGGAAAAGGTGGGGAGAGCCTTCAGACGGTGACGCGGGGTGGACACTGGGAACAAGGTGAGAAACTGAGGACGATTAGGTATGAAGAGTCTCAGACAGCAAGATTTGGCCAGGGCAACTGGAGGGAGTGCTTGACCCAAACTGTTCATCAACGGATCGAGAGGGGTGGGGTCTTCAGGCAACTATAGCCTCCATAGCATGATATCTGAGCGGCATATTTTCATAATCACCACACCCTTTCCACTTCCTTCTTACCTTTTCTCATCTGCCTCCCCTCCCTCCACCTCAGAGGATTATACAACTTTCAGAAAATAAAAGGTGGCTTTTAGCTAAAAAAAAGTTGGGTAGCATCTGCAATGAGAAATTATTTCCAGTTCTTTAATTGTGGTCTAGCTAGCTTTTTGATATCCACCAGACCAGTGGTTGGGAAATTAGACTCCCAGGGCCAAATCCAGCCTGCTGCCTGTTTCCATCAATAAAGTTATGCTGGAACACGGTCATGCTCATGCATTTTCCACATTGTCTGTGGCTACTTCCATGTGACAGCAGAGTTTTCTATGGCCCACAGAACTGGACATATACTCTCTGGTTTGCTGATCCCTGTACTAGATTATTGTCCCTTACTGAGTAGGTCCTGCATCTTCAAGAGTAGATGATATAGTTCCTACCTACCCCCTTTTTACTCTTTGTGGACATTTTCTACTGAATGCATGATATGAGAAGACTTTGCAGAATGAAGACCTGGAGGGGGATTACAAAGGCAATGGCTTTGCACGTGATTTTTTAAACATCTCACTCTGTCCAATCTTTTAAACAACAGCCGACATGGTCAGTAATGACCCTGTTTTAGATATGATTATAAGCACTGGAAATTTACTAACTTACTTAATCCTTACAATAATCCCACTAGGTGCCATACTGTTACAGCATCACCCTTCTACAGATAAAAGATACCCAAGATAGAGTAAGATAGGTGACTTATCCAAGGTAGACAGCTAATAAGTGGTGGGACCAGGATTCGAATACTGGTCAGACTGCAGGTTCTGTTCTCTTAAGCACCACGCAGTACTGCCTTCCTGTACCCATTGTCTTATTAAAACCTTACAGCTCTCCTACAGCAAAGCCTTTATCACCCCAATTTACAGGTGAGGACAAAAATGCAGTAATGTCATTACCTAAAATCGTGTAACTGGTAAGTGGCAAGAGCCACGATTAAAACTCAGAGCTCTCAAAGGCAATATTTATAATTATCACACCAGGGATTCTTAGTCTTGCTACTACTGATGCTTTGGACTGGATAATTTCAAAGTTTGCCTAAAGGCAAAACTGCCCCCCTTCGAGAATCACAGCTCTCTGCTTTACCCCAGGGCACTCCTACTGGGTGTAACAGCCTCCACGTGCCCAGGTTTATGAGTGGACCCCACCTTGTAATCATGACTGGCAGTTGAATGCTTCCCTCTTTTTGTTTTGAAGGACAATCTATTCTGCGATTGGCAATGACCTGGCATCTCATGGGTTTATCGTTGCTACTGTAGAGCACAGGTATGGCATCTGGTATGTAGCTGGGCTCTAACTTTCCTAGAGGTTTGTAAAAAATTTGGATTGTCAACTATGATTACACGATAAGGAAAAAAAAAGGAGACTGAGTTAGATGGTCAAGAATTGCAAAAGCAGCTAACACGTCTAGAGGGCTTACTGTGTGCCCTGTTCGCACACCGACATTTAATGCTCGGAAGAGCCCTGCGTGATTGTTACCATTGTCGCTGCTTCCAGGGGGAGGAAGATGAAGCCGACAAAGGGTAACCCGCCCCAAGCCACACAGCTAGGAAGTGACGTCACTGAATTTGATTCCAGGAGCGTTTTCAGTGTGGCCTCTGGGAACTGTGAAGATAGAACGGGTTTAGTTTACTCAAAGATGTTTGCTCACAAAGATGTCTTTTTCATAGCAGTCCCTTGGGGGCCTCTTGATTTAAAAAAAATGTAGCGGGGAGGAAGAAAGGGAAGTCAGGAAGGTCAGAGCGAGGCTGAGTGCAGGGTGCGGGGGGAACCCGGGTGAGATGGGGAAGTGCAAGTAATCGATTCCGCTTGTGTTGTAGAGACGGCTCTGCCTCCGCCACGTACTATTTCAATGACCAGTCTGCTGCAGAAACGGGGAACAAGTCCTGGCTCTACCTCAAAACCCCACCGCAAGGGGAGAAAGAAGCGGCGTCGCTACGAAATGCGCAGGTACCCCGAGGCCAGGACAGGTGGCGTGGGGGCTAAAACCCACAGGCAACAGGATGGCACCTGCTGATTTAGTTTCACACCCGGCAGGCTGTGCCCCTCCCGTCCCGCTCCTACTGCGCATTCCCAGCAGATCTGTGGGCAGGCGCTCTGAGTAGGAAAACCCCCCTAATGAAATGTGTGGGCCAGCATGAAATCAGAGACGTGCAACAGTTCTGGGAGGTGACCGTGAATATACAGAATTCTTTCGCATTAGAACTTCTCACTTTAAAATCTCAAGGTAGCCCAGCCGGGCGTGGCTCAGCGGTTGAGCGTCGACCTAGGATTCAAGCGATCAGGGTTCGATTCCCGGTCAGGGCACATGCCCGGGTTGCAGGCTGCAGCCGATCAATGACTCTCATCATTGATGTTTCTCTCTTTCTCTCTCCCTCTCCTTTCCTCTCTCTGAAGTCAATAAAGATATGTTAAAATAAATAAATTAAATAAAATAAAAAATAAAATAAAATCTCAAGGTAAATTCACAGTGCCATAAGGAAGACTACTTTTCAGAGAGTGGGTATAGGATTGCATTAAGAGTCTAGACCTTAGCCCTGGCCTATGTGGCTCAATGGTTAGAGCGTTGGCCTGCCCACTCTCTTTCCCTCCATCCCTCCCTTCCACACTCTCCGAAAATCAATGGAAAAATTATCCTCATGGTGGGGATTAACAACCACCACCAAAAGAGTTCAGGCCTTAGAATCCTATTCCCTCCGTTTGAATCCTGGTGCAGTCACTTGGCAGTGGGGCGATCTTGGCGAAGGCAACTTACTGTCCCTGTTTTGCTTCCATGTTTTCTCTGTTATAAAATAATGGGTAATAACAGTGTCTTTCCCACAGGGCTGTTAGGGAAATTAAATAAAATCAAGCACACTGGCTTCCACCCTGTGGGTGCTTTACATACGTTCTTGCATTTAATCACACATTTCACAGAGGTAGCAGCAATATATAGTAATCAGGGAGGTTAAGTAAGTCATCCGAGGCCACACCGTGGTTAAGCAACAGAGCCGGGACGGGGACCCTGCCAGGCCGGTGCCTGCCTCACGATGCTGGGTTGTTTGCTAACCACTCACTGCTCACACATGTCCATTTGGTAAGCAACTGACTGTTGTACCCAAGTGCAAGCTCTACACAAACTTTAAGTATTACAGCTTCTCACTTTGTCATTCCCTTCTGATAATCGTGTCAGGTGCGGCAGAGAGCAAAGGAGTGTTCCCAAGCTCTCGATGTGATGCTTTCCAGAAAGCCGGCGACAAACGTGTTAGATTTAGACTTCGACATGAAACAGCTGCAGGTGAGGTAAAAAAGCCCTTTCCCCTTGTCCTTCCCCTTCATTCTTTATTGTTCTCTATTGTCTACTTTTCTGCTGTAATACAAGGTACAACGTGACCGACGGCTGCAAAAAAAAGCGCAGGTGAAGTGTCACAGCAAGGCCCTTGCATCAGGTTGAACTCTGTATGAAGTCAGTCTAGGAAAGTGGCAGTTTCCGTGGCTCAACTTCATGCCTCCAGGAGAAGTGCTGTAATTTCTTGGATGGCTTCTGATGTTTTTGAGCTTGGTCCTGGAAAGTTGGTTCAGAAGTTTTAGACAAAACGTTGGGGGGGGAAGAATGTCAGACCAAGCGTACAACCTTTGTTCGTGCTCACCCGCCCTGGCCTGACTCACCCCCCATCCCGACTAAGTGCTGCTTAATTTTCAATTCAAGTCAGGCGTCGCCTCCTCCAAGAGAAGCTTTCTCGGACCCACTGCCCAGCCGGGGACTGGGTTAGCTGTGTATCACATCTCGTCCTTGGAACCACTCTATCCTATTTGCGTCATGCACCTGTATCTCTTTCTTCCCCAATCGACTGTGAGCTCACTGAAAAGGAGCTACGATAAATCCTCGTAAAATGAACAAACTGATTCGTATGAACTGGGGAGAGGAAGAAGCCGGCACTGACTGTGTTTCAAGTGTGGGTGACTAGGAAGGCCATCGAGTTCCCTTTTGAACTTTTACGCAAGCTTAACATATATATGCGTGGATGCATTTGTAAATACGTATTTGTGTGTGTGCTGTATGTGTGTATGTTTGTATGTGTGTGTGCATTTCTTTTATAAGAGATCAAGGTACTTAACTGTGCCCATGAATTGAATACAAATTGTATGATTCACAAAATCATTTACTCTGTTCTTCTAACGGCCTGCGAGATAGTTATGGATTCATATCATGCTTTTTCACACAGGACTCTATCGATAGAGCTAAAATAGCAATAATCGGACACTCTTTTGGTGGGGCCACAGTTATTCAGGCTCTTCATGATGACCCAAGATTCAGGTAAGAGAATGAGGCAAAGAGAGAAAACAGTCATTTATTGGAAGAGGGGGAGTGATAACCCATGTGAAAAACTCTCCCCTCCCCCATATGTTTTCCCTCATCAGTCTTATTTCTCTGTTTGAGGGCTTAACATTTTACTCGGAAATGTTCCTTTGTATATACATGTTTTATCTGTGACATAAAGATTGTGCTAATAATGTTGCCATCTTATAGTCTAGACTTCCCCAATAGGTAGGGTATTTGTAATTAATTTTTTTCATCTTTAATTTGGAGTGAGGTCTGAATTTATTGGGTGGAGTCAGGACCAGACTCCAGTCTTCTAACTTGAGGAAATATTTTCTTTCTTGAACCACTTCATCCCAGACCGATGAGGTCATGAAGATCCCACCCCATAGAAAGGGGAGGATCATTTGTGAAACCTCATCTCACATTTCTTAAAATCTGTTTCAGTATAAGGGGAGTCTTCTTCAGTCTATTTAGCACATAAAACAGTGTCCAGAAAGGCCAAGAAACATAGAATAAACTGACTTTGTTTTTGAATGCTCACCCAAGGATATGTTTAGAGAGAAAAGGGGAGAGAGAGAGAAACATTGATGTGAGAGAGAAATATAGGTGGATTGCCTCCCATATGCGCCCCAAACAAGGATCGAACCCTCAACCTAGATATGTGCCCTGACCGGCAATCAAACCCAAGACCTTTTGGTGTCCGGGATGACACTCCAACCAGCTGAACCACAGGGTCAGGGAGGCAACCGATCCGTGTTTCTGTTTCTCTCTCACACCGATGTTTTTCTCTCTCTCTTTCCCTCCCTCCATGTCCCCCGCCCCCCTCTCTCTCTCTTCCTTCCTTTCTGTCTCTAAAATCAATAAAAACATATCCTTGGGTAAGGATTAAAAAAAAAAAAAAGAAAGTTCTANAAGTTAGTTCTATTTTCAAGTGATATGCCCCATATATTTTTCTTCAATGTCCACTTTTCCAAGTAAAGCACCTGTAAATATAAAGCAATGGGTCCAGCCCTGGCCGGTTTGGTTCAGTGGTGAGAGCGTCGGCCCGAGGACTGAAGGGTCCCTGGTTCAGTTCCGGCCAAGGGCACGCACCTCCGTTGCAGGCTCAATCCCTGGCCCCAGTCGGGGCATGTGCGGGAGGCAACCAGTCAGTGTGTCTCTCTCACATCGATGTTTCTCTCTCTCGCCCTTCCACGCTCTCTGAAAAGAAATCCTCGGAAAAAATATCCTTGGGTCAGGATAAAAAATAAAAATATAAAGCAATGGGTACAATTGTTGCTCAAAAAAAAAAAAGGTATAATAAATATGGAATAAATATCCAGGTCCAGAAACATAGGAGCAATAGTGCATCCATTGAATTTTTTTCAGACACCCACAATTTTGAAGAAATTACTTTTCGAAAATTATTTTGAAAGTAATATAAAAAGTGAATGAAAATTTCAAAGATTGTGTGTCATTCTAAAGGTCTCAATTCCTAAATGCCTCCTAAAAGAAATGATTCTGTAGTCCCACATCTGCGACCTTATAAAGCTAATCACACCCCGTTCTCATGCGAAGAATTATACCAGTGAGATGGCCCACCCCAGACCTGTGTGGTGTGTGTCCGTCAATTGTGGCTCTATCAGGAAGCCCGGTGTGTTGGCCAGTGTGTGACCTGCCTTCTTTTGTCGTCTCAACCACCTGCAGGTGCGGTATTGCCCTGGATGCGTGGATGATGCCCCTGGATGCGTGGATGATGCCCCTGGATGAGGGCATATATTCCAAGTTCTCTCAGCCCCTCTTTTTTATCAACTCCGAACGGTTCCAATATCCTGCTAACATCATAAAAATGAAAAAATGCTATGTACCTGGTAGAGAAAGAAAAATGATCACAATCAGGTAATAGCAACCGACTTATTTCATCTTCTGAAACAGAAACTTGAAACTTGGATAAACCGCAACAGATATCAGCCATGAAAGGGTTGTTAAACTTGTTGTGTAGACTTTCGATGAGCGAGAACGTTAGAAAAACCTCAGGTTCTGAGTGCATTTAGACTTACTCCCTTTAAAATGTTTGAGTGGTGTTACTACATGTAGCTCATATACTGATCTTTAAAATTTGTGCCGGGGTCCATGCCACTTTTGTGTAAACACAAGAGCAGGCTTACACATTTTGGGGGCTCGGGTAGAGGGAAATATCCCAGATTATAATAGGGTCCTCTTGAGTGTTGGCAGTAGGCTTATCTCATGGATGTGGAAAAGAAACCCCAGTACGGTGTTGAACTCACAATGGGATGTTATCTGAAACCTGGTTGATTTCCAGGGAGAAAAGAGACGCAGGAAGGAAATACCTGGTACACGTGGTAAACACTTAGGAATCAGAGAACGGAGGGCTCTTTTCCAACTGAGATGGTCAGGAAAGGTTGCTTGGAAGAGACGGGAGTAGAGCTGGGTCTTGGAGGATCGAGAGAGTTTAGACAGACGGCGAGGAAAGGTCTCTAGAGAAGGCAAGGACTTTGTAGCGTATTTGTAGGTGCAAGTCTATATCTAACAGAGAAATAGTACAGGAGTCCTAACCTGTCTTCCACCCTACTCCCTTTCTAGGCTCTCTTTTTCTTCCCTTCTCTGCTAGAAACCTTGAAAGAATAGCTCATATTGAATAGTGCATGTCCTTCCTTCCATTTGTTCTTGACTCCTGTGGGTTAGCTTCCTGAGCGCCCGCCAGGGCCCTGCTGAGGCTGGAAGAAGCCCAGCAGCCTAACCCGCAGTCTCAGCCTTTCTCTTGGATCCATTCGACATTGGTGCCGACCCCATATCCCCTCCCCAGGGTACTCAGCCCTGCTCTTTCCTGCTTCCCCCATCCTTTAGACTGCTCCGTCCCTCCTGCCGCCACCCTCTCCTTCTCCTGGGCCACTCCTCTACCGCGGGTAGCATCCAGGCTTCTGCGGCCCCCGACCCGCACCTCCCTTCTTTCCGAGTCCCACTCTCAGGTTTTGACTGGAATGTGGGGAGGAGTGAGCGGGTGCCAGGTGGCTCTGGTTGGAGTAGAGGTAGCCAAGAGGATACATGGTTTGCTTATAAGCAGCAGCAAACTGAAAGGAAAAAAAAAAAAAGAATTGTACCAAGTAGGGCTGAAAAAATGTGTTTTAACCTTGGTATTTCTTAGCTTGAGACTGGGGAATCCGGGTAGAGATGTCCGGCCACAAATAGGAAATGCATAGACTTTGCATGTTCTCTAGACGAAACCTTTGGAGTAGAAGAGACCGCAGAGTGAGAAAAGAACAGAACCTTGAGAAATGCCTGCATTTTAGGCAAAGAGCCAGGAAAGAAGAGAGTACAGGGAAAGAGGGGCAGGCGCAATGTCAAGGAGACAAAGAGAAAAAAATGCAATGAAATCAAGTGTCAAATGTCCCAGAGGAAATAGAAAATGTGTAATAAAAAAGGCCATTCCATTTGATGGTAGGCTGTTGGTGAATTTAAGTGCAGCATAGTGGTATTTGTAAGGTGCTTACACTTTAAATAATACAAGAAAAAGTGTCTTTCTAATCTACTTAATCCAAGGCTTACATCCACAGTGTTCTGATTAGCCTCAACTAGACATCAAGTAAGTGGTGGTGGCTCTGAGTTCAACATATGACATATCTCATCTACTGAGATTGGAAGTATTCTAGTCCCTTAAAAAGCTGGAGTCATTTCTTTTAAAGACAAGATGCCAAGCAAAATTGGAATCTCTGTATTGTCTATCTAGAAGGGAAGACAAATACTGTATATACTCTAGGATTCCTAAATGAACAGTCTGTGACCCTCAAATTCATATATAAGGAGATTAAATCAGTAAGTCTTATTTCCTCGGTTTTCGGTAAATAAGTCCACCAGGCCCTGGCCAGTGTGGCTCAGCTGGTTAGGCGTTGTCCAGGGCACCAAAAGGTTGCCAGTTTGATCCCAGGTAAGCGATGTGCAGGAGGCAGCCGATCAATGTTTCTCCCTCTCTAAAAATCAATTTTTAAAATCTTAAAAAAAAGAGTCAACCAGGCCAGTGTCTTTCCTGTACCCTAACTGCAAATATAATTTTACCAAACAATGTAATTTGTAAATGTCTCATTTATCTTTCAGGGGTTCGGTCCATCAGAATTTTGCTGATTTCACTTTTGCAACGGGAAAAATAGTTGGATATATATTCACATTAAAAGGAAAAATAGATTCAAATGTAGCTATTGACCTTACCAACAAAGCTTCATTAGCATTCTTGCAAAAGCATTTAGGTAAGAAACTAATATTCTTTCATTCCATAAAACGAATGATCCTCCAGACAAAACTGTCTATCTTAATACACCACCAGTCTCATCTTAACAGTTTTCAGTGGTTTACAATTAAACATAGCAGTTAAATCAGTTTCAAAACCAAAATTTGAGAAATTTAATTTTGCTGCATGGCGTACTAAATATCAAACAGAAAGGGTACCTGTTAAGGCTGACAGTCTTCTTGGTAAGACTGGGACAGACTTCCGTGCTGAGAAAAATGCACCTGTGCTCATTCAAATGCAGCCTCTGAGGCAGCCACTGGGCACTGGCTGGGCCCTGGCTACCTTCTCCCTGACCAGGCTCCAGATTATGCAATTTGTGATGCTCTGATGCCACCTCGTGGCACTCAACTGTTAACACTCAAAAGCTGAATGTTTATTCACATTTATATTTTACAGGACTTCAGAAAGATTTCGATAAGTGGGATTACTTGGTTGAAGGGGAAGATGATCACCTTATTCCAGGGACCAATATTAACACAGCAGACTACCATGGCCCTCTACAGAACTCTACAGGAATGGAGAAACAGAATTTAGATTAAAAGTGCTTTTTTAAAGTCTGATTTGAAAACTAAAGTGTGTATGTTGTATGATTTTTTAGGCTATACCATGATAGTGACTGAAGCTTGGATTAAAATTTTTTTCCTTTAAGTGTAAAGAAAGACTGCAGTATATAAAAATCATGCCAGCCTAAATTTTACTTTTTTACTAAAGTGATCCTTTTTTAGCATCAAGTTAATAACTTTTTACATTACATTAATAAACAAGGATATTAAAACAGGCACAATGCTGATGAAAACATGTTGCAAGGACATGACACTCCCTAAAAATATAATGAAAACAGATCTGCTTGCCTCTTTTTTCTATCACGAGCAGTAGAAGTGGGTTTCAGCAGCATGGAATTCTAGGTGGAATTTGGTAGCACTTCCGTCTGCTTTTTGGTCATGTTAAGAAAACTGAGATCAAGCAGGTAACAAGGTCATTACTGTACCACAGGATTAGCGATACAATTTGGACGTGATGACTAATGGGGCGTGAGCAAGGGCAAGAATATTGGAGACTGGGCAAGGGCAGCCCATTAAAGCAGATTAAAGAAAGTGGGTAATTGGTTTGCATTTGCTTTAATGGTTTATCCCTGGTGGATTCTACTTACGAAAGAAAGGTGCCTAAGACAAGGCAGAGGTTCCAGCTACATAACACATTCAGTCAGCTATTCACCCAAAGACTGGGACAACAAAGAAAACATTCGAATTTTAACTGCTTTGTTTTCCAATTAGTTTTATTTAATGAATGTTTTTAATTCTATAGGTAGTACTGAAAGAAGTAGATCCCAATAAACGGAGGGGAACAGATACCTTAAAAAATTATGCACTTACATATCCAGGAGTCAAGGAAAAGCTTTTTTTTTTTTTTTTTTTTTTTTTTTGTA